TACGAGTACGAGTACGAGTACTAAAGTTAGGGAAGAAATAAAAAAATATATTATTAAGTCTCTAGAAAAAAAAAATAATAATTCTGAGCTCTTAACATTCTAAATAATTAAATAAATGAAAATAAACATTAAAAGAGGGAAAGACAAAAAAACAAAACAAAAAATTCAAGCTTAAAATTTATTTTGTAAGGTAAAAAAAAATGTTTTAAAAATAAAATAGAAAATATTTGTGTCAATAAGTGCCACAACTCTGTTGTGTTATTTACATATAACAAAATTAAAGAAACATTTATTGAATCCCCTGCATCCTCTATTTTTCCATTGACAATATGATCACATGCACATATGTAGTTGGCATGCTCATACTATTGATATGTGGAGTGAATGTGCAGAAGCAGTTTGAAGGTTGAACAGCAGGTCTGATCCGGTCTGCAGAGCTTTATGTATGAAGTGTGATGCTGCAAGGCTTTAATCCCCGGAGTTGCCTGTCAGCAGGTAGAGAAACAACACGGGTGGATTACAGGCTGCTCTGCATTAGTCATCAATATCACACTGGAAATTACAGCGTACACATGCACACTAAGAGCACACATAGAGTTCACCAGGAGAGCTCATCTGGCAGCAACTCAGAATTTTCTAAAGATCTAAATAATTTCTGTTTTTCGAGGTGTCTTATGGTTTAAACATGATCCAAACAGACACACAGGTGATCTATAAACAGTCCAAAGACACAGCCTGCATTTATGATTGTAGTGCCCTTTTCAGTGGAACTGTACTTTAGATGCAGGATAAAACATTGTTTTCAACATTATAGCTTTGTAAATTAATCTGTAAATTTATTTGCAGAAATACAAAGTACAGTAAAAGTTTGTTGATAATTTCTAAAATTCTAAAAGTCAGGTGTGAGCTCTCAGATGTTTTTTTTTTTGTTTTTTTAACAGTGTCCTGTCTGGCAATATGGCAATAAGAATAGTTGTCTTGATGCCAAAAAAGAGCCCAACAGATTTTGCTATCACCAGTGGAGCAGTATGGCTATTGCCATAGTGTTCCGCTTGATTTATGCATGTATACAGCTTTATTATAATTCATGCAGGGAGTATCATAGATTGTATGGATGTTGCAATGGGAAAGTAGAACATTAAAGGAAAAACTGGAAAAGGGATAAAAGATGAAAGAGAGAGGAGATAAAAGGGAGACAATGATAAAACGCCCTGGGATGTTAATATAGTTAGCCCTAAACCTAACCACAACCTGCACTCGTCCCTAGAAATGGTTTTTGCTCTCCTTTTCTGCTTTTTTTTTCTCCTCTTAATTGTTTTCTTCTCTTATTTCTTCCTCCTCCTCCCTCTTTTTAGTGGCATTATCCTGTCCCTCTGCATAAATTCCAACACAACAGAGTACGTCGTGATACTCAAACTAAACACAGTGTCCTATCTGGCGATGTGGCAATAAGAATAATTGTCTTGATGCCAAAAAGAGCCCAACAGATTTTACTTTCACACATGGATCAGCATGTGCCATAGTGTTCTGCTTGTTTCCTGCATATAAATTGCTTTATTATAATTATGCAGGGAGTTTTAAAGATTATATGGACACTGCAATGTAAATAGAATAGAAGAGGGAAACCATGAAAAAAATGAGAAAAGAATAAAGAAAGGGGAGATAGAAAGGAGATAATGATCATTTTCAGTCTGCTTCATCACCTGCAAAGAGATGTAAAAAAAAACTGTACAACCAACATACATGGTACAAGACATACAATAAAGTAACACCTTGAAACTATCGCTGAATGTGTGTGTTTCTCTGGTCAGATGGTATAGAGTGAAATTAGTTTTATGTGATTAGAAGAAATAACAATTTTTACATTTATTGTGAACATGGCTCATATTATTTGTTTTTATTTTTTTATGTTTATATTTTTATTGTAGATCCCCAGTAGCTGCAGCTTCACATGGCAGCTATTCTTTATGTGGTCCTGATAAGCTACCTTTAACAATCCTGTGGGACCTGAACTCATTCAAAAAACCCAACACACAAAATGCCAAGCCTATGATGGATCATGGAGCCATGCAGGAACCGTTTTGATAACATGCTGTAGCGATAATACTCGGCCCTGTGTTGTACTTTGCCTGGCTGAGTCTAATGCTCCTTCATCACAAGAAAAGTTGGTCCATTTTGTAAACTTCACCACTGGCCTGTTGAGCCCAAACTTCCAATGGCCAGCCAACCTCTGCCCAAAAATAAAAAAATCAAAGAAGACAAAAAGTCTCATTAGTGAGGAAGTGTATATTTTTTTGTTTGAGCATTTATGAATAATTCTGAACTTATGTGGGCAAGAAGAGAATAATAACGAATTCACACATCTGCTCCCAAAGTCCTCTAGTTTTATAATCAGTCCATTCTTGTATGAACCCTGGGGTCCATGATGAGTGGGACCTGAGTTTAAATCCAGTCACAGCTGAGCTGTTTTGTTAACAAACTTTATTGAGATATAATAAAATTACAACGGTTTCATTGAAATAATCAGTAATCAAAAATATTTTCTTAAGCAAAAATATGTAAAACAGTAAAGATTAGTAATTCAGACAAAAGATCGAAGACAGCTACGGTATAATGAGAGTGAACGGTTGGTTCTAAACATCTGAGACTGTGTGTCTCTATAATCCAAGTACATTTATTTTGTCCCCTAAAAACTGTTTATGGAAAAAAAAGCATCATGTTTTTTTTTCTTTACTTTCTTTGTACAGCCTAAAATCTAAACCTTTAGAAACAGACGAGCCAACAGAGTCCTTATAGAAAAGTTTTCAGGTGGGATTAGACATAAGCTCTGCCAGACTCTTGTTCGGACCGTGCCGTAGCAGTGTAGACCTTTCCTGGGTAACCTCTGAAAAAAACAAACAAAGAAAGACTTTATTCATAGGATTCATTTGCACTAAACGAATGCAACTAAAACATTTATGGTGGACGTGGCTGGAGTTACAGTTCTAAGAATCAATACGCCACCAAGATCATCCAAAGCATCATCATATAAATATGAAGTCTGTTAATTATTTACCCTTTCTTGCCAGCAGGTGATGCTCTCTTACAGGCGCTGCAGAGGAGACCTCCACCCAGGATGCATAGGGAGCCTCCCCCCCACCCGATGTAGAGGCCTGAACCCAACTCAAACCTGAAGACAAACACAAAGTTTACATCAAATCCTGTGTGTGAATCCAGAACTACTTCCTGCCTGAGAAGGAGAAAAAACTCACCTTACTCCTCCATATAAAGGGTTGTTGAAGTCCTGAACCACCTGGACTCCGTACCAGGAGCAGGCTATGATGCAGCATAGACCTGCAAAACACAGAAATACAAACATGATTCCTATAGGAAAGTGGCTTTACTTCTGTCAGTTATTTTTGAAGTACTTCATATTTTATCCAATTTAAGTTTTTAATCAGTTTGCATTTCATGCCTGTATGTTTCACACACGCTTTATAAACCAACAGACTTTGTGTCGTTTTGTGATCATTGTTGATTGTTTCTATTGCAGTTTAATTGCTCTGTTTATAAGGATCCTCAACTGTTGTGTTCAGGGTCCGTTTTTCAGTTAAACATATCTTTCACAAATAGGAAATATATGAAAAAAACAATCTAAATGAAAATGCTGTTTTATTGCCATTTATAGCTGTTAAGAAGTGTTATTGGGCTCATCTGTGTGTTTTTGTGCTGTGTCATTGTGCAGCTATCTGGTTGGTTCAATTCTGTACATCCTGCACCTTCCTGCATGTTTCAGATGGTTTCCTCTTAAAAAAAACAAAAAACAAAACTCTAACGATGACGACTAAAACTCCCACACAGTAGCTGATATTCAGAATGGTTCATCTTAGCAGAAGTTTCTGAGTTTGCATGTAAATATGAGGATAAGGCAGTTTATGTCAGTTTATGAAACTCTCTGTCACTCATAGTTCCCTTGGTTTAAGCCATTGAATACAATGATTAGGGTTCCCTAAAGAAGTGAAGAATGTAGGCTAATGCACGACTATGGTTCAACTTAACAGCAAAAGTTCAACATGTTAATAATAATATTAATAATAATAATATTAATAATATTAATAATAATATTATTAATAATAATAATAATAAT